TCCTTATAAGCACCAAAGCCAAAAAACCCCAGTAAAACCTTTCAAATGGTAAACAAAAGTTGAGAATAATTAACTGAGACACAAAGGTGCATTATGAAGGTTGGTATTGGAGCTAACCTTAAAGTTATCTACAAATGGCTAAAAGTAGTGGAAACAACGGCAACAAATGGACCTGAAACTAAAACCAGTTTAAGATGTTTTATAATACTGTTAAATACTGTTTCTCAAGTGGAAGCCGAAAGTTTTCGTTGTTGTGGTTGTAGGATTGGAAATTAATTTACTTTTTACATAAGTAAAGAATGAGATGTATTACTTAGAAAGTATTTCAGAGGGAACCCTTGTTTCAGCATCGCAATCTTTTTGATCTGCTTGTGCTCTTGTATGTTTGCCTGATTGTTCATCTTTGTAGGCAATTCCCCCTTGCCATCAAGTCAGACATCACACCCGTTTTCGACTTACGATAAAGACAACGACGGAGAGGACAAACTCAACTGTGCTGCTCTGACGAGAGGAGGTTGGTGGTTTGACCAGTGTGAGTCTCTGCAGAATTTTTGGAGCAATCTGAACGGTGAATATTTGCTTCATGAGGATTCCACAGACAGCGATTACCGCGGTATTAGATTGGCTGATGACTGGGCTGACTTTGAAGTAGCTGGAAGAACTGAAATGAAGCTGCGTCGCTTCTTGCCAAATGGTAATCACTATAAACTTAGTTACTTTTTGTCTAAATATGAGTAAAACTTAACGGAGTAATAATTTATTTCATGTGATTTTTCTTCATGTCTGCACTATCGATTTGCTGTTTAGTTTTTGAGCTGTTGAAATGTGAACCACAGAAAGTATATGTAAAATTTTTAAAAAGACTGAATCGGGGAAAATTTGGAATATATTTTGGGATTTCATCAACTGATACCCTCGTGCCTATCGCCTACTGAAATGAATTGTATATTACTACGGTACTCTTCACGCGTAATTTGTAGTTACAATGTACATGCTCACTAGCCCCACGCGTCATTTTCGATGGTGGAGAGTCTTAAATCTCTAATTTTCATTAGACCAAGAGGTGATCCCATCGTTTACTTTTCTGGTGAATATTGTTAATACTTCTACCGTTTTAAGTCGTGTCAAAACGGAGGTTGCTGTACCGATTCCTCCAAGTCCTTTCATCGTAACTGTACATACATTTTGATTGGTGATCTCTCTGAAACGTCTTTTGGTAAAATTGTTGATTTATGTTGCTGTAAAGCACAAACCAATGCTCAGAAATCACATCCACGAGCAACATACTTCACGAGTTTACCGAGAACAATGATGCGTAAAATCAAATAACTACGCCAACGCCTGAAATTGAATACTTAATACAAACAGAGAAAAATCAAATCTCGTTTTTGACGAAAGAAATAACATTTTTCACAAAAGGTTTCATATAAGGTGAAATTGCCAGATTAAATGATGAAATTACCGGTAGAACGGTGAAGAGATAATATGACTAATGCAATTGGCGAATTGAAAATCGATATTAGCATAGTGAATAATGAAATTGCTGAAAGGACCAGCAAAACTGTAGAATGAAATGGTGAAAGTAACGAGACCTATCAATAATATCAATGGTGTTACATAAAGTTATACGCTGTTAATACTTTAGGGCACGACTGGTGCATCTTCAACACAGTGGTAAATGGCTGACGTGGTGCATATACTTGATGCATTTGCATATGCTACCGCGAACTATATATTGACAATTATAGAGACTGATCCAAATGAACTAAAGGACGCAGGTAAAAAATAACCCTTCTCAATCGCATTACTAAACGCGGTATAGCAGGCAAATATTGTTTATTAATTAAACAGCAAAAAGTGTGAGCAATTGGTTTATGCAGGTTATCCAACACATACGTGGTTGGACATTCGCGTATGAACAGGGCTATGCGACGTGGCTGTGAAGACGAAATTATTCTAACCTACCACTGCATACTACTAGCAAGTTTCATTTGTAGATTATTATTGAATGAATTCTGCTTCCTGTACCGGCAATTCCGTTGTCAAGGATTGTTCTCTTACAAGTTCAATACTCATTCAAAATCGGCGATGTATTTCCGCTCTCGAGTATTGGGGTTAATTTATGCATAGTCTCACTGGTTTCAAGTGTGGTATTCGATAATTTGGCTTGTACGACCGAGATGTAATCCATTCGTCTTTTTTTATTAATTGTGTTTAAGATGACTGTAGTCCCAATCCCTGTGAAAACAGAGGGAGATGCATCAATACTGCCAACTATTTCCGATGTGATTGTACACCTGGTTTTAGCGGTGAACTCTGTCAATTTGGTAAGATCTCTGATTTCATGCAATTGGACAATTTCTGTGCGAAGTAAACATTGCTGAAAACTGGTTACAAAATGCATGTGCCTGCTTCTAATTTTGTATCACCCGAGGTGTTGCCACTGTGTTTGTGGTACGTAGTACACATCAGTTGGATCCTCTATCACGCATGCATCAAACACGAAAATAGAAACCAGCACTGAAGGTATTACAGGACTTGTATCAACGTGCTATTGTTTTCTTACAAATCAAAACTTCAACAGGGCTCATCAGGGCTACCCACAACAAGAGACCGATAAAAATTCCGAATAAAAACATGTATTAAGACACTCCGATCGGAAACTGAAATGACACACATCGCGCCTGACTGATGAAGTCTTAGCAATGTTCAAAACTTTCACTTACTTAAACACCTGTACGGAGACCATCGGCTGAAATGTAACATTTTAAGTCTCACATTATTTTGACACTAAATCTCGGTTGTACTATTGTACCCTCACTCTGTCGGAGTCATGTAGGAATGAGGCATATGCCGTGGTACATCACAAGCAGTATGAATGTGCATGTACTTCATGATACACGTCATGTCATTTCAAAACTTTATCTGAGATTAGCAATGTCTTTGTCGAGCCGTTGTCTCAAGTTGTTCAATATTTCTGCCACTTCCAGGCAGATTACACTGCAAGTACCCACCTCCGATTAGGCCTATCAACGTCAATTTGGATACACTGCTGACACTTTGTTGAAGGCTTCACGATATTTGTGATCGGGCATCTAGTCTGTGCCAAATGCTTCTTTCAATATGTCACAGGAAGAAAAGAGATTACTTTCTGAAGGAATGGCCTTTACTTTCTTCCTGATTGTGAATAATCGTAGCATATCCGTCCCTGTGCATCTACATGAACTAGCTACACGGTTAGTGATGCAGTTGCCATTTCGAATAAACCCAATCCAACCAGAGCTAGAAAAAGGGGCCAATGGATATTTCGAGGTTTTGTCTCTAGAATTTTTTTAGATGATTATCAAACTTTATTTTTATCTTTCTAACATGACTTCGTTGTCAATGAAAGAAATGTTTTCCTAGTGGAAGCTGGTAAGAAAAAAAGATGGACGAGAGGAGGGAAATTGTCGTGTTTAGTTTCTGATTTTACTCTGTGTTTGTCTTCATATTCCATTAATCAAGGACTGATCCATTACATATTTATTATTTGTCAAGATACCATCGGTTCTTTCAACCTTTGTTGAAATTGGGAGGGGGAGTTGCATCATTCGGCGACTCTTTCATTTCTGCTTTCATTCCCGTTTTCATTGGTGAACATCACGAAAAGCTACACTTAATTGTTTTGGATCCCATTTCTTGCTGTGATGTTATACCGACGACCGAATTGGGAGGGGGGGGTGTACTGCCATGCTACGGAAAGCCCCATTTTCTTAATTCCTTCGGAACAACAACTTGACTGTTTCGTTCCTGTTTGATTCTTGTCAAGGTTCTTGCAATTCCGAACCTTGTGAAAACGGAGGAACCTGCCTTGAATCTGATAGTTCTTTCTACTGTGAATGTGCACCTGGTTTCCTTGGTAGACGGTGCGAGGACAAATATGGCGGTAAGACCAAAGCTTATAATTTCAAACTCAATTTCAACATTCACATTCCTCTGAAGCAAAGCTTGGCCAGTCTTGCCTTTTTTTGGTTGTAACTGTACATTTGGTTTACACGGTGGCCTTTGTGAAACGCCTTTGGTTACGACAGTGATTGAACACATTGCTGCTATGTTCAGATGGTTACGCAACATTCAACGTTATATACGGCATTTTGAAATGCTTCGCTGGTGTTCTCAATGATGATATTGTAGCTTTATTTACACATGGCGGTTGTGCCCACATAAATTGTACAAGTTTGCAGTCCGTGCAGAAAGTTTCTTCAATCAATTTCTACGTTTTATGTATTACCAGTCGAGTGAACGAATTTCACTGGTGATGCCCATCGGTGTAAATCCGCGGGGAATGGAGGTATGCATCCTCCAGCTTTTTAATTGGGGTCAGCTGTTGAATTTCCTCAGATTGTGAACAATTGTTTAGACATCCCAACGAACCAAAATGTATTCATTATTACTCAGAAAGGGAGAACAATAATAAAAGCCATGCAAAGCCGTTCTGATGTAAACTTCTGCATGAATGTAATACACCTGTATCATGAACACCGCCCCCTATTTAACGTCATGTGGCGTCAGCATCCCTTAGCGCTTTTCAAATTTCCATGGCCAGGCAAGTCACCCCCACCCCCAATATCTGGCACATATTTACGTCGCTGGCTATGCCATAACATTATCAAGGATAGATTGAGTCTGTTCTGAATTGGCACAAACGTTAAACAGCTTTTTCGACGTTTTGCCTCCAAATGTAAGAACAGTTTAAATGCAGTAAACTTTCTCAGCGGTTGCCTGACGTGTATTTTTTCAATGACAAAGTCTTCACAATTTTTGATTTGGTTTATTTCAGCCACTGTGTGTTAAAAAAGGCTGTATGGAAAAATGCTGATAATCTTGAGTATGGTAGATTGACGTACAAAACTGGCTTTTGCCAGTGTAAGCCTACTGGCCCCATACATGATTTTGCGATGATGGATATCCTAAATCATTCAATCGTATACGTTCTTGTCAGAGTTTGATATTTTGTGGTTTGTTCAATACTGGAAGATTTGTTTTGGTCTCAGACCTCTAATTTCCTTCCAACAAAGAAGTAATTCAAATGTTTACTTCCTGTCTGATTTTGTCCAGATCCTTGCAGTTCTGACCCTTGTCAAAACGGAGGAACATGCAATCAACGGCAAGGTCACCAGTCTCGCCAATACTGCCAATGCGCACCCGGTTTCAGAGGTAAACACTGCAAGAGAAGACCTA